CTCTGATCTGTCAATCATCCATTTCTATCTGCTACCATCCGGTTTAATCTTACACACGCAGTCACATTCAGCACACACGCTGGTTATGCAACCATTGTGTGGCTGCGCTGTGGCGAATCTTTGTCCCATTGTGTGTAATGGTAATGCTGATATGCCGGTGTCCTGTTTCTCAGACCAAACCTTCGCCTGACAGAGACAAAGATGGAGTGTGTGTTAGTGCAAAGCTTTGTTAGCCAAATTCTTTTTTAATTTCTCCACTATCTGCACACATGCACACACATTTTCCACTTCACAGTTATGCACCATAACACACACTGAGGTTTGTGGCTGAACATGACAGGAATGAGTAAAAGCACAGAGGGCATCTGTGCTTTTTTGTAAGCCACCGTAATTGTAAATCAAGAAGAAGCCATCCACTGTCAGGCTAATTCGAACTTAGAGGTTCTGTTCTCCCTGCATGCGACTCTCTGGATCTCATGCCTGGTTGGTTCATGTGTCTGTATAATAGAATCAAATCTGATTTCTGCTCCGCTTCCTCTCGATCTCTCTGATTCTCATCCATTGTCGTTCCCAGTGAGACAAGCCGTAACTCCGCTTTCTCTTTGGGAAATCTTTTGCCCCAGTCCATCAAAAACCCAACTCGATTGGATCAACTTGAACATCTTCAGAATAAATGTTTGTTGTTTTTTTTTTCCTCTAAACTTCTCTCTTGTTTTGACTGCTTGAACATTTTTTTTTTCTTTTTTAATTTAGCGCTGCTTCATGTTGACGGTTCGTTTTCATACTTGCATATTCACAGTTTTTGCTTTGGCTGTGTTTGTTATTGATTCCATGTCATCATATTTCACCATCCTCCTTTCATATTGCAGGGAGTTTTTTTTTTTTGTTTTGTTTTTTTTCTTATCTGATCTCCTTGGTTTACTCAACCCTGTCCTGCCCTGTGTGTTATGGCTGGTTGAACCGCACATCAGATCAGATCAGATCAGATGAGAGGGAGGAGAGGAGAGTCCTCACTACTGTGAAGAGAAATTAAGTCTTTTTTTTTATTTCCACATTCTTTTCTGACTCTGTCATTTGTTTGCTTCCCTGAACCATCCGGTTCTTTTCCTTCTTCCACAAGTTCAATTATTTTTAACCTTGTACTAAGTCTTTTCTACCTATGTTTTACCAAAAACCCTCCGCCTCTCCTTCCACCATCATGTCTTCTGTATTGGTTTAGAATCTAGTTGTCGTGAAAGATATGAAAATAAATTCTTGCAGACGGATCTCCACTGCAGGGACAGACAGCCAAAGGGGGGAGGGTACTTCCGAAGCTGTTGAATATCTTATCAGAGAGCAACGCAAGTCAACTCGCTATCTTATCCGCAGCGTAACTGGAGATCTGCAGTCTCAGAAACATGAGAGCTGGGCTCTGGTCACAGTGTGTGGGCTTCCACACGATAAATTATGAAGAGCCCCCAGTACACTTTCAGTGTTGCCTCGGCATATTATTTATGAAAAGGCCCAGCTGAACCACAGGACAGATTGGTTATTTTAAGGAGGATTATTCATGCTGGAATCTGTCCGTAAGGTCGACAAGGAAGGAGGAAACATTTGATTATGATTGTACATCATTATTCATATGTTAAGTGATTTTAGACACTTAACATATGAATAATGTGTTATTCATATGTTAAGTAAACTAAAAACAGGAACTCTGTGGGAGGGAAAACACCACGTTGGAGCAAAGTATGCTGGGACAGGTGCGACAGGTGTGAGTATCTACTGCTACAACATGTGGAGGAAGGCGTTCTGGTCACGACGATGATTTTCTTCAGGAGGGCAAGAGAAGTTGTCAGAGGTGATGGGGAGATCGATGAAAGCTCAGCAGTTCTAGAAAAAAGAAAAACTGCTAGAGGCTGCAAATGACTCTGAGGTGGATGTCGAAATTGTTTAGATCAAGGCATATTATGTTTTAAAATAACCCAGCCTATGGACCAGACCCAAATCCTATAGAGAATCTGTGGGAAATGATGTATAATGTGGTGTAAGTGTCTCTCTTCCAGACCTGCAGTCATGTTCCTCTTTAAAGGAGTAAAGAGGAAAAAAATAAATAAAAAAATGTATTTTAAGGTCTTAATCTTTAAAACGGTTCCTTCACAGACTGAGAAAAATAAATCATTTCTGCCATTTCAGCATCTTGTAGACACTCGGTGAATTTGAGAGAACTGCGACACATTTCAGGAAAAGCATTTGGCACGCTGAGTCAGCATCTTGTGTCAAATCTTGTTGAGCTGTTTAATTGTCATGGTAAAGTCTAGTTTTCTGTATGCTCCACGCAGCGGTCAGTCAGTTTATTCTTGGCGCGCTGCTCATAGAAAATCAGTGCAGGTTTAGAAAACTACAAAGTCTAGTTTGCAGGAAGGATACCTCAGTCGGGTTCCCGTCACAGGCTTGTTGTGTTTTGTGTCTCATCATAAAATAAAGTGGATTCAAATATAAGAGGAGTAAATGTTTTTATTTACATGCATTCAAAGTTTTAAATGAATATCACCAATGGCTCAATGTGTAGAGAAGTTAACTATTTTTCTTTTAAGTGAAATATATTTGTACTTTTATTATTAATATTTAAAACCAAAAAAAAAACTTATTTGTTAAAGGCTGTTTAAGTCCAGCTGTGGTACAAGTACACTAATGTCTCTAGTAGCACATCCACCAGCAGTTTTCCATTTGTTGCCAGAGTCCCAGAGCCGAGCCGAGAGTCCGACCCGACAGCTCCCACACGAGTGCTGCCAGAATCGATGGCTCCATTATCAGGGGAGGGTCGTATTGATGGGTTCGGGGCCGCTAATAGCCCGTTTGCCCCCTGACAAACTGGTGTCCGAGAGGGTTTGAGGGGACGGGCGATGGTGAGGACACCCCAGCAGGAGATGGAAAGTTAAGTGGTTGGAATCGGGCTTTCTGTTGGAGGATGAGGTGGTGAAGAAGAAAGAGCAAGTGGAGACCGATGGCAAGACGGGGAACCAGACAAAAAATGCCCCTGTGCTGATTTAACTGCTGTTCCTCTGATCATGATGGAGATTTATTTTAACTTCATGTTTCCATCATAATCTAAACAGCTGTTTGCCATTCCCTCTTGCTCGACCCTCTTCACCTGTCTCTCCGTTCCTCCTTTTGTTGTTGCTGATGAGCTCCAGAGAGCGAGACTGACAGGGAGGGAGGGAGAGACAGAGAGTAGCCTGTTTCCATGGAAACGTGCTGAGCCAGATAAGCTTGGTTACTTGCACTGCAGAGTATGTGCAGTGTGTGTTTGCATGATGAAGGTTTGTTTTTGCCTTTTGAGAGGAGGAATGATGATTGATTAGAGTCTGATTCACTGGGCAGAACAGATGCTTGGATGAACAGATAGTGTGTGCGTGCGCGCGTGCGTGCGCGCGTGCGTGCGTGCATGCGTGTGTGTGTGTGTGTCAGCATCTCTGTAGGCCTTACCTCCACCTCAGCGCTGTAAGTCCGCGCTCTTATCAGCGGCCCTGCAGTGATTAGGATCGCCATGGAATTGATCAGCATCGCCATAGCAATGACGTCTTAACCAAGGCCAGGAGAAGAATAACACAGCTTAGGTTTCCCAGTTTGGCTTCCTGTTAGAAGCACTTTCATTAAAATGAAAACTAAAGTGGCACTTCTTCATCAGAGATCAGGTAGGGAAAGCTTTTAGCTGTCAAAAATAATATAATGGAACTTCACAAATCAGAGCATTGAGGTTACTTTCCAGTCTTTTTCTTTTTTTTTTTTGGTAAACATTTTGTACAAATTTGGGCTTATTCCAATTTCTCATAAACAGTTACAAAAAAGGCAGAAAAACAACATTGAAAATGTGTTAATACCTTCCCTTTTAGTAGCTATTAATTGTTTATATTAGTAGCAAAGAAGGGATAATGACCCTTCTATAGGGGAGCAGTTGTTTTAAAGCGATCACCTTTCCAATTTAGTATTTTTTGTGTCTTTATAGTAAAACAAACCCTGTTTTACAAGGGTTTAGCATCATATATTTTGTCGTTATCTTGTTTACAGTGTCCAGCATTACTTCTATCTGTATTCCCTCCTGAATGTAGATCAGGAGGGAGCTTTCCCAGAAATGGAAAGCTCATACGGATTGAACAGAGCAGCTTTGCTGTCCTCTGCCCAGCATTCCTCTGCTGAAAGTATTGCCGTCTCATTCCCTCAATAAACTGCAATATAAAAAAATATATATTTATTTTTTATCTAGCTTCTTACTTCTGTGGACGTCATCTGGCTTTATATTTAAACATCTCACTTATGCGGCAAATGGCCAACTTTAAGCTTCACCCTGCAGTAGGAACTTCCACACCAAAGAGTGTTTATGACTTCTATATGGTGTGTTCAGATGTTTCAGCTTCTGGCTTGCTGGTCAAGTGTTAATAATTATTAACACCAATAATGGTTGGTGTTAATAATGCAGGAAAATCTGCCTATTCTGATTGACACACGATTTCTGTTTGCACCGTTAGAGAGACAAGCAGAAAGGAGGGGAACATAAATAGTTAATTATTGACGATTCCTTCACTTTTATATGCAAGGTTTGAGAAATCTAATTTGTCTGCTTTCTCAAGCATTGCTGTTGGTTTTTTTCCCCCCTAATTTCGATCTCTAAAATTGTACTTTTGCAGCCCCATAAATATCAGTTTTTTGTAGCAAATGAATATGTAAAAGAGCGAGACATGAAGCCTGGTGAACAAAACTAAAGACTCTCTCTTATGATACATTTATCATTTTGCTATTTAGTGAGATTTTTTTCTTCACATTTTGTCTTAGACCCACACTTTAGTGTCCAATAAAAGATCTTGAAGACAACAAAGATTTTTTTTGTTTAGTAACAGAAGCAGCAGCCTCTTTGCTGCCGTTTCTCTTAATGCTTGTTGTTTCTGACCGATTTTATTCTTAACAGAATCGAAGAGGTGCAACTTATTGCTAATGAGAATGTCATTCTGTCTCTGCTGCAGAACTCCCAGAAGAAAAGAGGAGCACGGTCCAGCAACAAACCGGACAAGAAGCCTGCTCCACAGGTGAGGCTTTAACTGGGATGGGGGGGGGGAAGAGAAACACACTCACTTATTTAGAGGGAGGTTCCTCTGAGTGCTTCGAATAATCGATAAGAGAAACACGTCGCTGTCTCGGGAGCCAAAGCCACTTAAACCTGCAAAGACATGGACATTGATCCGGCATGCATCCACACACACCACAGAATGGAAAGTGAGCAAGAAGTAAATTAGTTTTTACAAAGGTATTGCTGGTGTTTCTTCTCTGCCACTCATTATATTCTAATTAAAAAGTTTTACATCAGTGTTTTAACTTCAGAAACGTAAAGAATGGCTAATTTTTGGTCCTACGATGCCTTGTATTGTATTGTAACCCCAAATCACGACTGCCACACAACCAGAGCACATGGCTGATAAATGTGTCTCTGTTCAAGAAGTGATGATTGTCCGCAAATGTCCTCCATGTCTTCTGCCTTTCTATTTCTGATTGTTCTTTTTGTCTTGCAAGTATGCTAATTACAAAATTTTAATTTGCTTTGGCTGTAACAGATGAAGCTTTCAACACAGGATTTAATCTCCGTTTGCTCTATATTCAGTCTCCCTTGTCAGCATCATTGAAGTCGCACTTCGACAAACACTACCAAAAGAAATCATGTCCCTCTTTGAAACATCCCAGGACGCACTAGCTGTTGTCGTCAGGTCAGAAAAGTCACACATGTACGAGGTGAACACCCAGCAGAATGAAGCGCGTTGAGTGTTTGCAGGTATTTCTTTTCACCAATGTCTCTGCTGCGCCGCCAAGACGTGCCTTGGCTTCCCCTCTCAAACCACATACCATAAATGGCTGTAGATTCAGCTGCCCTCGCTTCGTTTAATGTGGTTGGAAGCGCTCCACGGGCTGTAAAACAAACAGCCACAGAGCTGCTGCTGGGGAATGTGTGCACTCGGTCACTTGAGGTCAGCTGCAGCAAGAGCAGCCGGGTTTGGGATGAAAGAAAGATGCATTTAGGCTCAAATTTAAGAGTTTTTTTTTTCCCTTTAAAACAAGAAGGCCGAACTAGACGTTTCCTCGACAATTTGCCAGCACATTTATGTTCCTCTCGCCGTCGAGGTATCGAATAGTCTCTGCAGATGATAGATGACGTCTGAGACAAACCACTAATGAGTCTGTTTGCTGATGTTTTCCCCCTAAGAGCTTTTTATTCTTGTAATTCAAGCAAAATACAAACGCAGCAGGACTCTGACCTCACCATTTAGTGGCTTCGGTCCACATGTCGGTCAGACAGAGCTTCGGAAATGTCTTCCTTTAAAGTTTAAAGAGTTTGTCGGAGAGGCTTTTCGCTCTCGTCCAAGACGACGTGAAGATATCTAAAGCGCTGAAGTTCATAAAGCTCAGGGCTTCGTTTTGCTAGTTTTAAATGCTACAGACTCAAAGAGGAGCAATCTTGTGGTTGAAGTGATCTGACTGGTCAGCTTGTTGTTGTGCCGTGCTTCGTGTATATCTGTGCTGTCAGGTTGTCTGTTCCTCCCCGTCTAACAAACTGCATGAAGGGCCTTTCTCTATATCTGCAACTCCTTTCTCTGTAAAGTGGTAAACACTCAGGTTTGATGAGTAAAAGGCTGTGATGTTCCATGGGCATTAAATTATACACATAGGTGTGTAATTATTATTATTATTATTATTTATTTTTTATTATCATTTATTTTTATGGATGTATTTTCCATTGCACCACAAGCACAAGTGATTTAAGCGATACATTTTGGTAAACGATGTGGTGGTCTTACATTTTTACACGACCATGAATCAGAAACCGAAATTACTGGGAGTTGCAATCAGGGAGCGTGGCGTCTTTGTCGTTGTCACCCCAGTGCTTTTCTTCCCTCTTGTCATGTCACTCCAGGAAGACAATTCAGACCTGAAGTGTCAGCTCCACTTTGCCAAAGAGGAGTCGGCCCTGATGTGCAAGAAGCTGACCAAGTTGGTGAAGGACAGCGAGGCCATGAAGGAGGAGCTGGCCAAGTACAGGTCTCTGTACGGAGACGTCAACAGCTCGCTCACCGTGGAGGAGGTGAGAGGAGGACAGACCACGAGGACTCAAAGGCTGCTAGCTGCACGATATGAAAAGGAAGCATGGAGGATTAACTTTTACCCTAAAGAGTAGTAAATAGTTGTAAACTCAGTTTGGAGAAGCATAGAATTTAACATCCGCGTTTTCCAGGTCTGAGTATGGAGACAGAAAATAAGAATGTTGAAAAATATTTGTTTTTCCAGACTTTATTTATTCAAATGTGTGAATGTCCTTTCATCTGTCCTTCCTTCATTATTTATTGCTTTTATTTCCTCTTTTCTTCCTTCCCTCCTAGACTTTTCTGATTCCTTCCCTGTTTTTTTCTCTTTGCTGTGACCTTCCTCTCTTCTTTCCTTCCTTCCCTTTTGCCCATCCATCTTTCCCTGCTTTCTTCTTTCCTTTTGTTTTGTCTCCCATGATAACAATTTTCTGTTGTTGGATCCGTCCGTCCGTCCTTCCTTCCTTCCTTCCTTCCTTCCTTCCTTCCTTCCTTCCTTCCTTCCTTCCTTTCTTCCTTCCTTCCTTCCTTCCTGACAACAAAGAAAAATTGTATCTGGAAAAGTTTGGCATTTTAAATGTGTGGGAACTCCATAAACAATGTTACGTCTTTGCTGGCTGTTTTGTACAAGTTGTGGTTTGGTAAACAGTCTCATTACAGCATTAGGGTATTATAGTGGTAAACTATTGCATTTCTTTTCTTCCCACAAAACACTCAAGAGGCCAATGTAGTCATATGCCAGTGGGTGTGCCTGAGAAAAACCCTGCAGAGGGAAAGTTGCATTGCTTTAAAAACCACCAAAGCACTTTAAAGCTAAACTCAAACTTTTTGTATTTTATTAAACTGATTTTTTTTTTCTTAACAACTCAATATAATTTTAATTGCTTGTACGTGCGTGTATTAACTTTTTATTTTCCTTAAAATCTTCAAAAGCATCTGAAAAGACAACACGGTTTACTAACAACATTTATCACAACAAAGCAGGCATAAATACCAGATGAGTTAAAAAAGAAAGCACTGAACAGTGCGAGCGACGCAAACGGACTCTCAGCTAAACATTTTCAGGCAAACATGCGTCGAGATGCTTGAGGTCACTGTTTGCCCTGTTTGACTCGTCTCAGGTTGCCGACTCTCCACACACTCGCGAAGCTGAGGTCAGAGTTCACCTGAAGCTAGTGGAGGAGGAGGCCAACCTGCTGAGTCGACGCATCGTAGAGCTGGAGGTGGAGAACAGGGGACTCCGAGCCGAGATGGACGAAATGAAGGGCTCACAAGGTGGCTAGTCCTATTATTTGTTAATTTTATTTTATTTCCTTTGATTAAAAAGTAAACAGTAAATAAGGTGACATATAGTCATGTCATTTGACATAGTAATATTGCACATCTTGCATACGGTACACACATCACCAATAGATGAAACTTAAACCTCACATTCTCATCACTGACCGTGCAATTATTTACACATTGTTAACATCAATAGCAATTTTTTCCCCCGTTTTGCCCGTTTTGCCGTCCTATGCTGTTCAGCCGAGGTGCCAGGACACATTTTAGAACTGTTAATTAAAATCTGTCAGCTGTTTCCTCATGTGAAAGTCTTTATTATATCTATTTAAATCTTAAATACTTTCTCTTTCAGAATTTTGTCGACAGTTTTTTTTTTTTTTTTTCCAAGTTTTTTTCTGAAACGACTGTCTTTACTCCTAGACGGCCACCAAGAACTTTCCAGCGTTGGTCCAGGGGCCGGGCTCGGAGGGGCCGTGGTGCTTGGCGGAGGGGCCTCGTCTGAAAACGTCATGGAGCTCCAGAGACACCTGCAGTTTGTGGAGGAGGAGGCCGAGCTGCTGAGGAGGTCTCTGATCGAGATGGAGGAGCAAAACAAGCTGCTGATGAACGAGATCAACCGCTACAAATCCGAACTCCCGCCCGCGACGTCCGCGCTGTCCGCCGAGTCGCTGATGTCCCTGACGGACGGGCTGTTGAACGACAGCCACTCGGTCCAGGACGGGGCCGTGCTCATCAGCACCGACACGCCGACCCCCGAGGAGGAACTGAGGCTGGTGAGGCTTCAGGTGGGAGAGCTGAGCGGGAAACTGAAGAAGCTGCAGTACGAGAACCGCGTGCTGCTGTCCAACCTGCAGCGCTGCGATCTCGCCTCGTACCACGCTCCTTCCTCCTCGTCCTCCTCCTCCTCGTTGAGGCTGGCTTTGGAGACAGATGCAGAAGCAGGAGACTCGGCTGAGTGCCTCCCTCTCAGGTATGTTTGGATATTGTTTTCCGATGCTTCTTTCAGCATGCTGTTATTGTGGGACGACTGTCTCTCTCAATTCAAGTCAGTTTGTATGGCGCATTTCAGCGGCAAGGCAGGTCAAAGTGCTATGCACCATACAAACAATATCAATGAATTACGAAACAAGCAACAAACATTAGATTTGATCAAATGTCATCGTCAAAATCAAATTGTTGACCGATGTTCCACATGCTGCTCATCAAAGACAAGTTTTTAGCCTTGACCTGCAGGAACTCAGTGGTTCAGCTGGTTCATTTCATTGATGCACTTTATTCAAAAAGGGACAATCTACAACTCAAACATAAATGCCACCATTTGATGGGTTGTACCAGAGTATTGAAAAAGCCAATTCGCATCCGCCGTGCCCTAACAAGACGTGAAGATTTAGCGGTTTTCTCAAAGTGTCTTCCATGTTAGAGGAGCGTTGAAGCTGAATGCTGCTTCTCCACGTTTGATTCTGGCTAAGGGATGGAAGGACTGTAGAGCTGCTGTGATGTGGTCTGGTATCACTGTGATGGCATGTGATAATAAGCTTCTAAACCCTTGACACTGGATTTTATCTAAAATCGTGTCAAGCCAAAGTTACTGATATATATGTTGTAACAAGTTGTATCCTCTAGTTGCACTTCCAAACCTTTAATCAGTGACCTGTAACTATGATCTGCACAGTATTATCGGATTATATGTTTTTGTTTACGTCAGAGATTCAGCTGAGAATCAGCAGCCAAAATGTTTTGTCCAGATATTTGTCAGTAAGAACACATCAGTTATGACCGGTTTGCAGATGTAGTGTGCATCCCATCTATGTAATTTCGTTCAGTTGTTGCATTTAACAGCAGTGTCAGCTGAACCAAAACTACAAATTATCTCTTTAGTTTTAGTCACTTCTTTTTTTCTGTTTTTTTTTTTTACATTTCCTTCGATACACAAATTGACTTCGGTAACGACTACATAGGTGATAACAGAGGTCCCCTCTTGTTTGTTTGTCAGCCCGCCTCATCGCAAAGAGCCAGTGGGTGGTGAGAACGACGCCAAGGAGATGGACGAACAGAAAAAGAAGATCGAGGACAACGCTGAGGCAACGACTCCGCTCCCTGGGTGCCTGGGGCAGAAGGACCGTGATGCCTTGTTGGCCATGAGGGACCAGGCTCGTTTGGTTTCCACTGCCATACAGCTGCTGACCTCCCCCGAGTCCAACTGCCTGTCCTCCTCCTCCTCTCCTTCGCTGTATCACAAGGTCTGCAGCAATGAGGCAGCAGAGCCGTGCGACCTGGAGAAACCTCAGCCTCACTGCCAGGTACGCGCCCTCCGTTCGGTCTGTTTCTGAAAGCGTCACGTGAAATTTTATTCATCTTTAAATCTATTTATCAAATTCTTGCGACGACAGAAAATACATTTTCGTTATTACACTACCTGATCCCCTCTATCTCCGTCGGTTTCGACAAGCCGTGTGACGAAGGTTGCGCTTTCCGCTCTTCAGATCTCGGAGCTTTCCGATTTGGCGGACCGTCCTCTGGTTGGTGCTCTGACCAGCAGGCTTCAGGCCCTGCACACCCAGCTGCAGGCCTTTGTAGAGCAGGTGGACGGCCTGGGTAAACCTCCATCTGGGGGCAGAGACGCTCAGGTGGAAGGGACGTCCCCTCCAGCGTCTCCCTGCGCTTCCGTCCCCTGCTCCGGAGACGGACAAGACAACAAAGTCGAGCACAAGGTAAAAATACACGAAGCACAGTTCTCTCCTTCACTCCTTACCACTGTTTTGCTTTGATTCATTGAATTTTTAGGTAATTATATTTCTCAAGTATGTTTTTTTTTTTTTTTTTTTTATTTTTTATTTTTTTAAAGTTTCTTTGTTGTTGATCTGTTGTTGTTCTAGTGCCTAAGCATTATTTTGGCCGACATCTCTCTCAGTCCCATTCCACCTTGCTTTCTTTTTGAGTTTCTTTGCACAGAGCAAAAATTCATTTACACAGCATGCTCAGATCTGCGGCAACATCCTGGCCATATCAGCTGTTTAATCGGAGTTGCTGTTGATCCAAATTCACAATTTCCAATGCTCATCATGCATAGGCCAGAAAACTGTGGGACGCATTCCGGTCTCTGCAGAGTATTAAGTCAGATATGAGCTGCTGGCGTAAAAGCAAAACAAAACCAAACTCTGCATGTCCTCTGCATGCTGTTTTAATGCCTCCTAACCTGTGTTTAATGCTGCTTGGAGCCTCAAATGGAGCCAGTTGCCTGGACAGAGAGGTTATCAAATATTCAAATATTGATCGTTTATGAGAGGTCTACCTTTATTGGAGTTTGGCATCGTGAAGTCTTAGTTGGTGGTTCTTGTTTCTTTTGTGTCATGACAACTGGATGATTTGATTGTGGGTCTGCAAACGCAATTTACAAGAAATAGTTAGAGATTCTGAAATATCAAGAACGGATCAGAGGGAACATTAGAACATTTAATAGGTTTTTTTATTATTATTTTCTGGCTGGATTTGGAACCTGCACAGATGTTTGAAAAACGTAAAGGCAAGTTGAAGTTATTTCAGATCTATATTGGTGTTTTGGTGGGGATTTTTTTTAAATTTAAATGTAACTTATTATTGTAAAATTCAATAAATGAGCCAAGAAAGTACAATAAAACTCAGCAGAGATTTTGAATTAACTTCGATTGTTCTGTCTTTACACGACTTTACAGATGGACGTCATTTTTTTCTTAGACCTCACCAATGGGGGAATTCGGTTTGATAAGATGGAATAATCTACTGAAATTTCTAAGTAAAGTTAGATAATGGCATTTAAATCGCAAAAGTTTTCATAGAGCTGATTCAATAGCAAAAGAGTCATGCATTGTAAAATCATTTTTCTCTTCTGATCTGGTCCAGCTTATTGGTTTTTAAGAAGGTGTGATTAAATGATCGGTAGATTCAAGTGACGATACTCCATTAGAGGCCAGTTCCAACCCCTTCTATCTCTCCTCCCCTGTCCTCCCTCTCTTGTCCCTCCTTCTGTCTGCATGGGCTCCATATCCGATCGATTTCTGCTGTTGGCTCCCTCCCGCCTCCTCTCCCACCTTTCACACCACCTTTGTTGCCACCACTCACGCATGCTCATTTCCATTCCTTCCTTCATCACCTTGCTTCTCTCTGACGTCTCCTTACGCCCCTCACATCTTTTGCTGCAACTCGTCCCTTTTATTGCTTCACGTCACTCGTTTCTCTCTCTTCTTCTGCACCTTATTGCTCCCTCCGCCCTTCGCTCTGACCTTTCATCCTAACTGCCTTACTCCTTCTCTTTCCCTTCCCATTCCTTCTTTTCTTCTCCTTCTCTCCCTCCGTCCCCCTTTGTTATCGCTCATTCCCATTTTAACCCTGTATTGCCATCTGTTGCACTACTCTGTGTCCTCTTCCATTAAAAACATTCCCTCCTTGCCCCTCAGCCGTTCATTCTACCCTCCATTGTTCTTTTCTTTCTTTTCTCCACACTTTCATATTCCTCTTTGACCAAGCTCTTCTTCCTCTACATCCTTTTCTTTGTCTTGTGAGGCCCATAAGTTTTTTCTCCCCTAGTTTTCTTGATGTCTCATTGATGGACACCATTTTGGTTGTATTGTTTTTTCTTATTATTGTCATGTTTTCTGTCACCTTCAATTTTTTTCCCCCCTCCCAAAATGTCTCCTTCCTCATTTCTACATCTTTTCTCTATGATTTTTTTGTTTGTGTGTTTTCTTTCTTCTTCTTCTTCTTCTTCTTCTTCTTCTTCTTCTTCTTCTTCTTCTTCTTCTTCTTCTTCTTCTTCTTCTTCTTCTTCATTAACTTGCCCATGCATGCAGCAGCCTGATTATAGGGACCAATCAGATCCAGACGAGAAAGATGACACTTACCAGAGCAGCCAATCCATCAGCAACGACTCGCAAAATTGGGCAGCTGGACAAACGGAGCAGGAGAAGGAGACGGATCGTTCCACGGTACGCTCAATCATGAACAACATGACAGCAAACAACTCCTACTGGAGACCCAATATGTCCGCCTCCAGTGCATCTCTTGGCTGAAAGCCAGCGCCATTTTTTAACCAGACAGCAACGGAGGTCACACCAAAGCCTAAACGTAAAACTTTGACCGGCGTAATATTACTTTAGCCAAACAAAGCAAAAGAAAGTACAACGCCTTTAAATTCTAAGCACTTGCATGCTTTACGTATTTTGTACGTATCTAGGATTTCTGAGGTGTACTTAATTTTCCAAACATTTATATTTTTACTTTCACAAGACAAGGTCATTTATGAAGCTAGAACAGAAAGAGGCTGTGCTATACTGTCGCTTTACAACGACTCCACTTTACATCGGGATCCATAAAATACAGTAGCTACATATTCAGGAAGCTACAAATTGGCAGCTGTGTTTGTGTGAGCAGTCATCAGAGTGCTGAAGATTATCGGCCCCATAAGCAAAATCGGGCCGACATTAGTTACCCATGTTTATCTACACGTTGTCGCCATTTGTACATGTGATTCTGGAGGTGGGCCATGTAGTATTTGCTTGGGCAAGTGACACTGACAATGGTGCAGCGCAGCAGGATTGTGGGATGTCTAAGCAGAGAAGCAGGGTGTGTTTGCTTTCTTTACAGTGCTGAAATATAATGCTTTTAAAGTCATAGTTTGCAGTCATAGAACTAAACAGATTTAGTTCTATATCTTCGCATTGGTTTAACGAGTTCAAATCTGACTATGATTTAGATCTCTATAAGCATTTCATAGAAATAATTGATAACCATATAAACTAATTATTCGAAGCCCTTTCAGTGGTACGGCAGCAAATGGGTGAGCCAGCTGGAAGATTTGGGTGAGATGCCGCTCTGTGTCGGACAAACTTTATCGGCACAGCTACCACACCGTCCAGCAGTGGCACCAGGAGTAAGACTAGACCGTTGTTTGCTTGACCTTTTTATGCTGTGCTTCCATGGCAACCAGGGCTTCATGCATCTGCATCTTTATCCACGAGTATGAGGGTGAATAGGTCAGGGGATACCAAAATAAACCGAGAGAGGCAGATAAGTGGAGGGCGATGACAAACAGAGGATGGCAAAAACCCAGAAATCGGTATTTAGTGGTGAGCTTCGGGGTCAAAAAAGTAAACCTGGTCTGTCCATCTGTTCAACAGGTTTTAGTGTGACAGCACAGATGTATTCTTCCACTCAGATTTCCCCCCTGAAACCTTCAGCTTCAGTTTATGATTGAAAGGACAAATATGTCTATAAACTCATATTCTTTTATAGTCATATTCATTGGAATTACTGGATTTGGACTCTATTTCTTCACGTAAATGCCTAGTATGTGAATGAAATTAATATTGTATCAATTAATTCCTAATTTTTCAATATACTTCTTTGCACCAGAGTCATTTTGTAACAGAAAAAGTAATTTCTCTTACGAGTGGGAAGTTGCTCTTGGTTGTGGGTGATGGAGGTAGAGAGCCAAGCTCAGGGGAGGGTAAAAAAGGACATTCATGGTACAGTGGAGGGTCGATGGATTGCACTCACTCAGCAGCTAAATGAGCCATGGGAGAGTGCATGAGTACAGATGTAGGAGGTTTGTGAAGACTTACAGTAGACTTGTACAGCTCAGGGTTGATTTAAAGGTGAAGAGGCACATCTCTTTTCTTTTACCCAAAGGGTCCATTTTTGTCATTTTCTTGTAAATCCTCCTTAGTCACTTCTTCTCCATCAGTTATTTGCTCTTTCCACATGTTTACTTATTAGTTCCCCTTCGTTATAATTGTCATCTCTCATTTCCTTTTCTCTCCAGTCTGTCCAGCTCAGTGACCTGCAGGCGCAGCTGTCCACAGAAAAGGAGTCAGCCAGAGGAACTCTGGAGGAGCTGGAGCGAGAAAGGCAGAACCACAAAGGAATCAGCCTGAGACTCTCACAGGTCAGTTTAAAGGAGGAGCAAACAATAATAATAGTACGTTTGCCCCAAAAATCTAGTTCTGTTGGATCAGTGTGTTTGTGCTTGAACTCTTTTTCTGTTTTATTATTTCCAAAGTGAATCTCAACGTTTTCAGGGTTTACTCTCAAGAATGAGCAGAACCTCGGGTGGTTTCTGTGTCCTTCTTTGTTTTTTTAATTTCTTGGTCACTAACTACAGTTCTTTGCAAAAGTGTTGAACTGTTTACATTTTATTTCATTTTGTGGCTAAGATCAATGTCTCTATAGCTTTTTGCTCTAAATTTAAGCAGCTTGCCTGTTTCCACTGATGTAAATCATCCCCACAGGATGATTCTGCCGTCACAATTATATGGTCTTGCACAAAGGACAAAAAGTTTAATTTTGATGTGATGCAGCTTGTTGTGTCGCCCGCTTTGGCTTGTAGCAAACTGAAAACGGGACTTCTGTTGATTTCTTCTGGCTAATCTTCCATAATGACCAGATTTGTGGATTGCTTGACAGCGACAGTGATGCATCAGCCTTGAACTTGACTGACTACGTTCTTCCCCTCTCAGCTCCAGGAGGAGCACCAGAAGGCCCTGCTCCGACGGGACTTCCAGCTTCAGAGCCTGGGCCTGCAGGCTCGACTTCAGCAGAAGCTGTGGGGTCAGGAGAGGACTCTGCTCGTTCAAGAGTCCCAGCACCTGAAACAGGCTCTGTTGCTGCTGAGTCTGAAACTGCGCTGCTTCCTCAAGCAGTGGAGGCTGGGCTGCAAGAAGGATGCAGAGGGGAAAGATGTTTTGGAGGTATGAGTGGATGGAGAGTAGAAACATTAAAGCTGCAGTATGTAAAAATGTTTCTTCACATTTATATATATTTTTTTTTACAAATTTCAGACAGATAATCTAAGAAGAAAAAAAAAAGAGCTCCTCCTTCTTTTATGGTCCTGCT